TATAAAAAAAATTCGAACGAGTACTTGAATGTTAAAGTGCCCCTTGGACGAAAAWTGCTATCTTTTCGTACAAACTTGAAACTTCGTCCAAATAATCCATACTACCCTATTAATCACCTGTAGAAATTTTTTCTTCATATTCCGACGGGAAGTTTGAAAATTTTGCGTTTTTACTACCGGCCGCCATTAATTTTTCATCTCACGGCCAAAAGGATTATTTTCGGTCAGCGGTGTTCTCGTGACATCATTTACTCTACTCATTCCAAAACGCTGGCGTCTTTCCTCTTGTTTCTTCGTAAAGTTAGAGAGTTAAAAGCTAGTTTACTGTAGATTTTTTTAAAGTTTTCACGCTCATATCAGCGACCGAGTACGATATTTTCCTTGTCGACMTTTCTGTTGCTTCAAAAACATGGAAAATGTCAACAGCGTCGAGATATACGACTGTGAAGAGCTCGAACCTAATGCCAACGAAGAAGAGATCGCTGAGTTCAACGAGCAATCCAGAATCGAGCTCGAAGAAGAAGAGAYGCTAAGAAGAAGATTTTGTGGGGAGTCCAGGCAATGGTAAGACACTTAAAACTTTAATTAAGCAAGGACAAATCACAAGTGAAGTTAAGCCGTCTTCGACAATACGCAGAAGCAGCAAACAAATTTTCATGGGAAGATTAAGGAACGCATATAAAAACGAGCCAATCTGTATGTTCTAAGCTTTCTTGAGTTGTTTAAAAAACAAACTAGTGGGGTTCTTTGTTTGTGTTAGGTGATGTTGCTCTCATTTGAACATTTTTTATTCAAAGGACAAGTGCAAATTATGATGAAGAAAATCCGAGTTTCGTGATATTTCTATAAGGATATATAGGTACATTTGTTTTGATACGATCTTACCTAGGTGCACTTGTTCTAATTGTTGCCTAACTCTAGTGACAAAGCAAGAAGAGTGCTTTTGTTGCAATGACATCATGAGATGYATGGACAAACTGAATGAACTGGATCAACAAGTTCAATGTATTACATGTCAYCCTGGCTTTGAATCTGTGTGTCTAGACAAGTATGTTCTGGAAACCGCTGCAGTGGGACTGAAGACAAGAAGGAACAGGAGTTATACTATTCTTAGAGAATAGGGCTTTGCTAAAGAATCAGAGTAAGTATTGATTGAGCTTTACTGAGGTCTCTTCAGGCTCCAGGATTAACAGAAAATGTCCAATATTTTGTTATGCTATGTATACAGTAATAAGAATAGCTGGCAAAAGCCCAAATAATATAATACGAATCATACCCAGAACCAATTATTTCATTGGGACTGAATTCATTCAGCATATGCATTATATAAAAATGAATAATAGCTAGTAGACTTTTTGGCCCAGTACTTCTTAGATTTTGTACTCTGTCTACCTATGCTTGCATTCAATATGCTAATACACCTAGCATAGTATATAATTATTTTGAAATTTGTATCGTAATTGAATTGATWATGAAAAAATCAAAATGTTTAATAAATACTCCTTCATCTTTCAGATTTCTTCAATCTGTTGCATACAGACAATTTTTTCGATTCATATGGGATTTCACTGGCAATTCAAAAAGACTACCTCTGCCCTGTTGTGTTTATAATAGCATACGAATAGCATTTCCATCTGAAGATGGAAGTTATAGAGGCTTCCTGGAAAGAAGACGAAGGACAAGTAGTGTCAAACGAAGAGTCAGAAAGTGAAGAACAATCAGATGAATGAACTGAAACTAAAACGAATCCTATGAACAATAGTAAGATAGTGAGTAATAAATCTTTCAAGAATATGTTATACCATCTGACATCCATAAGCAAATTCACAATTGTGTTCAACATTTTTGTGATGATTTTTTACGATTACTTCATATGCTACTTGTCATATAAACGGTTGCATTCCTCTTTGTCATGGCCCTTCATTGGTTGCCCGCATTTTCTGCAGTGAGGTGCTCTTCTGTCATTTCGTGCAGCATTTYTTTCTTGTGTCAAGTTTTGCAATTGTTCCTCTGAAATAAAATTATATAAGAACCTTAGGGAATACAGAGACATTATTCATTCAACAATTACAAAACCTTCCATGTGAGGTACTGTTACCATTTTTATGCAAGTGTGATTCTAACTTTGCAAATTTTCACCTTTTTTTAATATTGAACAGTCATGTTATTCTAGAAATACGAATATATTACCTGTACATGTGGGTGGGACAAGTTGTGTTTCTTTTCCTTTTCTGTTTTGATGCTTGTTAATTGCCTCTTCCTTTGTTTCTTTWTCCAACATACTATGCATAGGTTCTGGCACACTCTCCTCCAGCTCTATTCTCAACTGTTTAAGATCAGCTCTAGGTGTTTCAACCAGGCATTTGAATATATCGTCCACATAGTCTGAAATAATAGGAATAAAGTTTGAGACATTTTTTCTCTTATAGTACAGATTTTGAAAAAGTTTACAACTTTGTTTACTTATTTCATTTTTT